TTTCATGTATCCCATAATTGTATAAGTTCTGGGGAAAAAATAGGTCATAAAGTGGCATTATCATTAATTATTGAAGACTGTTAAGCAATATTTTCAATCTCCTCCTAAATTTCCAAACCAAATGAGTAACTAAATGGACAAAGCCACTAGGAACATTCAGCATTACAATCCCTTCAGCACCATTTACTGCCTTTGATTAATACAATGCAGTTTTATGTGAATTTCAGATAAACTATACATTTTTATAGCCAATTCTTGCTTAATGGGCAAGCCACTTGCTTCAAGCATACTGGCCAATTGGGATAATTAAGGAATTTGATTTTTATAAATTCTACTTTGTAAAGAATGGACTAATGTGTAAATGATGGCTTAGCTATGCATTTTATTTTGTAGCTCCACTGTACTTCTTCGCTGCAGCTTTCTACCATCTAAACTAGGGGTAGGCAACCTCGGCTCTTTTATGACTCATGGACTTCAACTCCCAGAATTCCTGAGCCAGCTAGGTTTAAACACATTAAAATAGGACTCCGTACTGCTTACCTAGCAATTTGAAAGCATGCAAGTGCGAGTAGATTAATAGATACCACCTTGGTGGGAAGGTAACAGCATTCCATGCTCCTTTGGCATATAGCCATGCTGGCTACATGTCCATGAAAAATATCTTTGGACAATGGCCAAGAAACAGAGATGAGCACCACATTCTAGAGTCAGATACAATAGGACTGGGAAACCTTTATCATTTACCTCTACTCTTATTTGAATATGGGTTTGGATGTGGTTGCCAAACTATAGGTGATGATTACGATGAAACTGATGATTTCTCAAATTGCACAGAACTACAATAAGAAAAAGACTGATTTACTCTTAATGCTGGCATTATCCACTCCAATCCCACTGTCTAGCTCAGGGGTCTTCAAACTTGGCCCTTTTGTGATTTGTGGACTTCAACTCTCAGAATTCCTCAGCCAGTGTGCCTGGCTGAGGAATTCTGGGAGTTGAAGTCCACAAGTTATAAAAGGGCCAAGTTTGAAGACCCCTTGTCTAGCTAATGTGTGATGATACCTTGAAAAGAGCTGCCCTTAACCAAATGCACTTCATTCAATGACTTATCCATTCAAATGTAATAAATAAATTCAATCTAGATGTAACTCTCTGCAATCTTTTTCCTGCATTTCTACTAGTAGAATCAAGAAAAGTAACTGCTTGGACTTTATTATTGATATTCCTGCGCTATATTTCCCATATGGATTAGTGGGATTGCAAGCTGTCGTTCTGAAATTCCCAGCATGCTGAGGAGCAATGTTAAGACAATTGCATTATGGGAAGAATTAAGTGGCTGGTCTGAGAAAGAGACCCAGGCCTTTGGGTCAGAATGAGTAGTGTCCCCATTTTTAGGAATTGTAATATACTTCAGCAGCATTGGCCATTTATTGCCCATTTGGTTTTCATGATATGAGCTGGGTTTTTTTTTGTATTTGTTGGTTTTGACTTTCTTTCAAGTTGTGAGCCATATACATGCAATAAATAAATAAATATCTTAGTGCCCTACTAGAGCAACCATTTTTCAAGGCCTCTCCCCTCTGGAATCAGCCAGAGAATTTAGAGTCTAATAGAGAATACATGTAGTTCAGGGTTGAGCTGCACATATTCTCTGTGGAGCCCTTGGTGCTCTCTGGACTTGATTGTATTTTGCAGATATTTCATTAATTGACGAGGTTGCATCTTCAGTGGTACAAGCACTACACTTAATCTGGCAACAAAAAATCTGCAAGAAAACAATAGCAATAGCCCTTAGACTTATATACTGCCTACAGTGCTTTACAGCCCTCTGTAAGCGCTTTATAGAGTCAGCATATTGCCCTCCCTGATAATCTGGGTCCTCATTTTACCAACCTCGGAAGGAAGGAAGGCTGAGTCAACCTTAAGTTGGTGATGATAAAACTGCTGGCAGTGAGCTGAATTAGCCTGCAATACTGCATTCTAACTACTGTGCCACTATGGCTCAACAACCAAGCTCAGAGAGCACTCACAATTTAGTAACCTGTGGCTCTGTCACATCTCAAGTACATTGTTAAGGAAAGGTACACTATATAGATTTGGATTTAGGTTTTGAAGAGACACACACTCCTTTCTGGCACATGAAGCTGCCTTTTGATAAAATGATAAGCTCAGCTTCTCCCCTAATAGCAAAGGTAAATGAAGTAGATGTAGCCAGGGATTCAAGAAAAGTCTTGTCCAAAGAATCATTTTCCAAGGAAGACTTTCTAAGTGGTGAAACAATGATTCTGGGGGGCAACCAACAAAGATCTTATTTTCGAGATCTTATAAAATATTAAACAGAAGTATTGTTGTTTTATTAAATTATTGTTTGTTCCTCCATTCTTGCCTGTCCCAAAGATCTGGTTTATAGATTGAATTTTGCAATTATTTAAAATTATCGTCTTTAATCTGGAAAGGTTCCTTATTTGCATTTCCTTTTAGAGCTTATCTACAAAAGCATTTCATATCACAGACACTGGGGACTAAAAAAAAAAAGGAGGACAAACCATGTTTGGTGCGTTATACAAAAATGATACACAAATCCTACTCAAATTTTCCAGTTGAGTTTTACTCATGATTTGCACCAAGGGAATAGATGCATAGCTTATGCAACATCACCCTTCTTGCAATTTCATAGAATTATTCTCTTCCACTTCATTTTTTAAAAATTGCATTGAGAGAAAGAAAGTGTTGCTCATTTGTATTGCTGTACTGCCATTGTGTTTCTTTTTATTGGGTATGTTTTATATATTTTTCCTAAGTAAGCCTTTGAGAGTCATTTTGATTGTGGTGACCTAGAAATATGTCTAATAAATGTTCCTGGGAGAACAGGTCTCAGGTCATTTTATCAATCAAAGTCTTTTCAAAAATACAATAAAAAAATAAACACGTTTGCTACTCTTCTATCCACATATTTCACTTTTATACTAAAATGTTTTTGTTTTTAGAAACCTTAGTTTTCAAGTAAATTATCTGAATTATTAAGACTATAGTTATCTAACTACACTTCAGAGTAATGGTAAACACACACTGTGACCACAGCTTAGGAATATATTATTTGATGAGCCTGTGTTAACCCCTGTACAAGGAATATAAACATGGAATTTCTATGTGAAGACATGGGGTCTTTATCCAAATCTGGAAACAGGTAGTACAGGGAGTCAAGCAAAAGACACACCATGGAGTCTCCTCTGCTTTTAAAAAGGATTTAAGAAAGGAGTACACTTTAGGTAAATGATGCAACACATAAGGAAGCAATTTGAATTGGCTTCTTCCAAGAAGTGTTTTATAGGTTCCCAATCTAGCCTACAACCCTGGTATTTCTACAAGTGCCAAGCATTAGACCCCACTTAGCTTTTTGAGACAACGGAAGAATAGCAATAGCAATAGCCCTTAGACTTATATGCCACTTCACACTGCTTTACAACTCTCTCTAAGTGGTTTACAGAGTCAGCATATGGCCCCCAACAATCTGGGTCCTCAGGCTGAGTCAACCTTGAGCCAGTGAGAATCGAACTGCCGAACTGCAGGCAGCTGGCAGTCAGCAGAAGTAGCCTGCGATATTGCATTCTAACCACTGCATCACTAGGGCTCAGTAAACATGACAAAAGTCACAGAAACTACAATAGAGAAGAGCAGCCTGCTTCTCCTTTTTCAGATGAGGTCCATGTGGCTTCAGAGAAAACATGGAAGGCGGGAGGAACCTAGAAGCACTGAAGGATTAGAACAGGGGTCTTCAAACTTGGCCCTTTTATGACTTGTGGACTTCAACTCCCAGAATTCCTCAGCCAGCATGCCTGGCTGAGGAATTCTGGGAGTTGAAGTCCACAAGTCATAAAAGGGCCAAGTTTGAAGACCGCTGGATTAGAAGATGATACTGTATCAGAAATTTAACTCCTGCTTACTTTTAGTTATAGCCAATAATGAATTCCAATTCCTAACACCTATGCAACTCACATACACTTTCCAAATATACCAGGCTACACCTTTAGATATGAAACATGTTCCTTTCCAAAGAGCTGTTATTATCAGGAATATTATCAGGACAAGATTCAGCAGTCCATCTGCATTTAAAAGACAAAGGCCATGCTTTTGAAGATAGCAAAGTCCACATTTTGGATCGAGAGGACCGTTGGTTTGAAAGAGGGGTCAAAGAGGCCATCTATGTCAAAACTGAACAGCCCTCCCTCAACAGAGGGGGAGGGATCTGACATCAACTATCTCCAGTCTACAACACAGTCCTTTCATCAGTTCCAAGAAGGCTCCACACCCATTTGCACTACTCAGGTGACCCTGAGGACATAGGTAAACCTCCAAGTGGTCTCAATGACTCCCTAAAAGAATGCAAATGACCAGCTGTCTGCAAGGAATATAAATCCTTCCATTCCCCACCATGCAGTCAGAGCTGAAGAAGCTTCTTGGATGAGAAGTGAAATGTCTTCAAAGAGAAAAAAGAAAGTCCAGGTGCCTCGTGAAAAAGCACCTTTGGGATGTTCTTCAGTTAGACTTAGAACTGAGGAAGCTTCTTGGATGAGAAGCGAAATGTTTTCAAAAAAACAAACCAAGAAAATCCAGTTGTCTTTTGGAAAAGCACCTTTGGGACCTCCAAGATCCCTTCCAGCCCTATGATATTAATTACTTTTATTTGCATCCTGACTTTTATTCTTAAACCACGTCCTAAATATGGGCATGCCTCACTCCCCAAAAAGCCCATTAAAACTGATTTTTTAAATCACAGAATAACTCCCTCATTGCAAATTTTCTTTTTATCACTCCTTTAAATAATGTTGTGTCACACACTGTTTGTTTCTTTCTGTCCTCAAACTGCCCCAGAGAATCACATCCATTTTATCGAACAGAACCCCCATATAGAACAAATTACTCATATATGGCATTAGAAGAAATTAAACATGTGCACATCAATTTTAAAGTGAAATATTTTTGATATTTTCATACTTTACCAGTTATGTCATGCTGTTTGAATGACTCACTGTAGATTTGATACTGATTGGGGCAATGTTTCTTCAACCACTTGCATACATCTTGCTGTGTCCAAAGGGCCACTGGCTTTGTCAGCTTCACAATATGAAACTGGAAATATAAAATAAGTTAAACAAAAATTAAACCAATGATTTTGCTTCCACTTCACATATCCACCTGCATTTTGTGCATCACCATGAGCCAGGATGGTCAGACCCTGCAGAGCTAAATTTTCTGCTTTGCACGAAAAGGTCAAGGATGAAAGGATTATGATTAATCAGACACTTCTTCATGTGGCTAACAATTAATAAACCCTGGATATTACAGATATTTCAGACTCTGAAGGCAGGTAAAGAAATCTCAAATTCAGTTCAAGTAATCATTTGAGTGATCAGCAAACATTTCCGATTCATCTCTGTGGATTCTTTTTATGCTACAAAGAAATATCAGCCTTTGGAAAGCTGATCTCAGTGATGTTAACAGTTGTCTATGTAGGAGATGACCAGGCTAAGCCCAAGGGGAGGGGTCAAGCATGTCATCAGTTTGGAATCCCTTCCACCCATAAGAGATCTAAATTCAACCTTCCCTGAATTCTGTTAACTCTTATCTACCACCAATTTCCCTTGACCATTAGTAGTTCAGATTCTTCTTGAGAGCTAGCATGGAGTAAACTTGTACTCATTTGAACAATCCTGGTTCCTGATTTCTTGTGGCTGACAGTCTTCTCATCCAAGAGTCCTTGGAAATAATAGCTTTGGGAAGATGTCTGCCCATCAATTTCCCTCTGATGTCTAGAATCTCCTGGTTCTTGCATGCATAGATCTATAAGCCGAGTTGCCCCTATCTGCTTCACTGCACTTGGCAGAATTTGGGAGTGGTTGCCCTTGAAAAAAAGAAGCAGATTACCTTGGGACTTTTGCCTTTCCCAAACTGGCAAGTAATGGCCTACTAGTCCTGCTTTTGTGAAATATTGCTGCTGGGACTGCCATTTACTAAAGCAATTTTAGCTGACTAATTGGATGAGTTTTAATTCATTGGGCAAATGATCAAAGGTGACATAATTCTGTGTAGGAAACCACTCCTTTTTGGGGGGGGGGGGGAATGAAGAATACCAAATGTGCCCAACTGAAAAGTTGTGTAGGACCTCCCTGCTGAGAAAAATGAGGGAGATATGTCCCCTTCTCAGACACACTTGGTATCAACAATCTGGATTGCTGTAGAGGAGAGCCCAAACTTTGAGATGAGTTAGGCATTGATAGACTACACCAGAGCTGTCCAGCCTTGGCAACTTTAAGACCTGTGGACTTCAATTCTCAGAATTCCCCAGCCAACCATGGACACCTTTGTAGTAGACAATACAGGGCTGTTTAGAGAAATACTCTGACTTCATAGCAAGGCAGTTTCCTTTGATCCTGACTTACCAAAAACATAAGTGAAAGACAAATGGGTGAAGAAGTCAAAGTAAAATCATCACACAATAATAACAATAGCAATAGAACTTATATACTGCTTCACAGTGTTTTGCAGCCCTCTCTAAGCAGTTTACAGAGTCAGCATATTGTCCCCAACAGTCTGGGTCCTCATTATACCGACCTCAAAAGGATGGAAGGCTGAGTCAACGTTGAGAAAGACCGAAAAAGCAATGAAACTGAAACTATGGGAAGTTGCAGAAGCATAAGATTTAAGAAAGAAAGCTGTAAAGGCTTCAGGAAGCTTGTGGGGATGGAGGTGATTAGGGAGGAATAAGATGGAAAGGATATTTTTATGGGGTTTTTTTGGCAATGCTTCATTGACCACCTCGCCCCAGAACATCTTCGCAAGCTCCTAGCCAATCTTGGTTGATCTTAAAAAGATGAACAGAATCAGATCTGGTTAATACAAGGTGGGAGACCATCCAAAAGTCTTGGGGCTGTATGTTAGTCCGTGAAGTCAGGAAACGTTCATAAAGAAAGCAATAGCAACCCATTTTTGTAATGTTGCCACTGATTTATTTGAGAAATGTCTCTGGCAACCTGGCTAAAGGATTTAAAGTTGAGGGTCAGTGATTTACAGCCAAGTGGTGGTCCTGGCATTCTAGACATGGCCAAGAACACTGTATAAGAGTCTGGATTTAAAATTGACTCAAGAGTGCTTTTACCTAATCTCAGATCACAAAAGATTATAAAAATGAGTGCCAGCATGTAAATTTGTGCGCAGAAATGGACCAGCAGCCAGCACAATTGTTTAAGAATACTAAACAGGTTCCAATGAGTGCTTAGGGGATGATAGGGAACCATGCCAAAGGACTAAGTATGGGATTCATGTTCACAAGTCTATTTGGGCTGGATTATACTATTTTGTAGATTAAAGCCATGGAGCAATTAAGCTCCTTTGCAACATCATTATTAAGAGTCCATTTAGCACTTCCTGTTTCTTCTTCTTCTTTCCTACATGTGGCAGTTAGAGGAACAAACTTCTTACTTTTAAAGGGAGCCAAGATTCATAATGATGCACCATTCTCCCCAGACTCTTTAAGAAACCATCTCTTTACAAAACAGAGCCACACCTTCCTACAAAGCAGTTGCCAGATGATATGAATCATTGCTGCATTAAACAGCGGGAAGAGGGTGGTCACTGAATATGTAACTGAAGTTGCCAACACATGTAGATTTAATAGTGGAAGAACTCATCTAAACAGCCTGATTTCCACAGCATGAAGACACCCCACTTACATTTGCCAAGAACATGTCCTCAAAACAATGTCTCCATCTCATAAGCAAGTTATTATTTAAACAATGTAAAACTGATCCAAAATGTACCGGCCCAAAGATGGTATTTTCCCAGTTAATATAACTGGAGATCTGTCATGTGGCATTCTAAGCCACATACAAGAGTTGTCTTGGGTGGTTAGAGACCTGCAGGACTCCAGCAGGCCCCCCACAGTAGGATTGTCTACTCTCATCTACCTCCAAAATAACAATTTTTGCTGTAGCTGCCCTACAGTCTTCTGCTGTTGTCCTATGACTTTTTTTCCCACCAAGGAAATGCTTTGTAGTCACTGTAGACAATATTATAGAAGGCAACAGTTACTGAATGACAGATCCACAGCCTCTTCCACAGCTCTTCTAGCCTACAAAAAAAGCAGTCAGAACCTGGAGATTCCAAAGACTTGTGTATAGAACATGGAAGAGAGGATCTTCTCTCCTGCCAGTGACCTCAAAGTGCGCCCATTGAGTCCATGGGCTTCCCTGTCCCAAGGCTGAAATCTCACTGAAACAAACAAGCCAAGCCAAACCTGCCATCCTGCCCTTTCTTTGAAAAGAAACCAAGATGGGTAACACAGACATTTTCAACTTCTGGGAGAAGGTCCCATTTAAATGCAAGGCTGGCTTCAAAAGCTAAGATCAAATTTGTTCCAACTGGTCTCCTAAATGAGAACCAGTTTGGTGCAGTTCCTAAGGCACTGAGTTAGAAACTGGGAGACTGTGAATTCTAGTCCTACCATAGGCGCAAAGCCAGCTGGGTGTCCTTGTGCCAGTTCTCTCTCAAGCCCTAGGAAGGAGGCCATGGTAATTCACTTCTGAAATATTGACTATTTCAGGGAACTAGTTCAGCCAGGAACTGAAGTAAAAGCAAAGACACACATGCACGTGTATGTACACACAGACACACAAAAAGTTTCCTAAACTGACTTGTGAAACTTGTACTATAATCTCCCAGGATTTGAAATGGACATCTAACATTAGAACTATCATTAAAAAGCCACAACAAAGAATGTTCTTCCTCCATCAACTCAGGACTGCAGAAAAAACAATTGCAACCAGCCTGCCTTCCACTGAGGACCTGTATACTGCACATGTCAAAAGGAGGGCTGAGAAAATATCCACAGACCCCTCACATCCTGGACATAAATTTTTCAACTCCTCCCCTTGGGATGCTGCTATAGGGCATTGCATGCCAAAACAACTAGACACAAAGACAGCTTTTTCCCCATGGCATCATTCTGCTGTAAACCTAATTACCACAGTACTGTCTTATTTCTAAGGATATTTACCCACGTAGTATGGCTGTATAACTATTATCCTTCTCATCTTTTCTACTACCTTCTCCTATTAGAGAACCCTGACTCTTATTATTATATTACTTTGTTGTTTGTATGTACAGTGAGAAGTTATGCACTGGAGACAAATTCTTTGTGTGTTCAGTCGCACTTGGCCAATAAAGCTATTCTATTCTATTCTATTCTATTCTATTCTATTCTATTCTATTCTATTCTATTCTATTCTATTCTATTCCATTCCATTCCATTCCATTCCATTCCATTCTATTCGTTGTACTGCCCCAACATCAACAATCTCATGAAACTTTTTTTTTTCCTACATAGAATAAGGAGAGACTCATGAAGTGGGGATTAAATGCTTGCAAACTCCATGCAAGAGAAACAAATTAATCACCCCATTTATTCCTCTCTTTGTGCATACAACTTTTAAATGTTATTACTTTTATTGTTTCAATTTATTGTATAGTGACTCATTAGTGTCCCATCATCATTGTTAATGCTGTAATTTTAAACAGCTACTCCGTAACTATCTCTTAATCTATTATGGGACTTTAAATTATAAGGCATTCTTGGATCAGACGCTGCAGTCAAATTAATCATTCTGGACCACAATATTGCTTGAAATCCTTTTTGGGAGGTCAAGTTATGCTAGACAGATAATATATTCTGATGATATTTACCAAACAACCCATGCTAATTTCTTGCTTTCCTAATGTGCCCATTTCAAGATCTAGCCGTGAACTGTGTGCTGCCTCAAATTATTATCTTCATATTAAAACCCAGTGTTTTCCATCTTCTGTTAATTTTATTCAACTTCTAGATTCTGCACATTGCCTAAACAACAGATAATACCATGATGAGCAAGCATTTCCTCAGCTGTATACAGTCAAGGTTATTTTTAATCAGGCTATGCAGTTTACTTGCAGTATTGATTATCTGAATTTCATACATCAGGTTCATGAGAAGATTTAATTGGATTGATTTCTTGCTCAGAGGTTCTGGAGAACATTAAGTCTTCTTAGGCTTCAGTTCTTTTCAGCCATTTATTTTTTTTATTGTTTCCAGTCGATAT